GAAAAGTGGTCATGCTGGCAGTTTGTTTGGGAAATGTTAATTTCACTGTCATTTCCATGAACATGAATGTGGGTTTTTTTTAATCATGAAGCTGATTCTTTCTCTTTAGAAGTTCCATGTACTTGCCTAGGCTCTTTTCTGCAGCAATTACGTAAACATTAATTATTTGTTGAACTCCTCCCTTCTCTATCATCTGCCCTAAAGAAATCTCTCAGCTGGACCTGAACCCAGACACTACAGTCACTTGATTAAGCATTCTGACAGATTAGCGCAAGTTTTACAATGTTGGCACCATCATAATTTTGATGATGTAGAGTCGACATGTAGAACCGTGGTTGATGACCGTTTAATTTCATTCACCAAGCTTCCTTAGAAATGGTAGTTGAAAGAAGAGCTATTACTGAACGTACTTCCTTTGCAGATTGAAATGATACACTTCAAGAATCAAGGTCTTACTTTGAACAGAAAGTAATCAAAATGGACGTAGGGGCTACTGTAAATACTTTTCACCCATAGGAAATGTGAAACTCTCCACAAATTGAAATAGAATGTTGACAGAACTATTAAAGTCAGATGAAGAAAGAAGAAACTATGCAACCATTGAGGGTAGGGTAGCTAGATAGAACCATGATACAACAATGGTAGTTGTGCAATGACATGTGTTCCTCAGGGCATCTGGCCAATAACTACAATTGCTCTTCCCATGAAACACAGAATCTATGAAAATGAATGATTATATGTAGCAATGTCTACAATATCTAGCATTGTCCAAAAGTGACCTATCATAAGTTGTTGGGTTGCCAATGAAACACAACCGTTGAAAGTATCATGGTAGTTTAGAAGATGTAAATTATGCCATTTGGCACCAAAGAACATTTTTTTCTATTAAGAAAGGATTTAGAAAAATCTATTGGGGAACTACAGTACCTATGTGGTCACTAGGAGTCAAAATAACTTGATCAGTCAATCAACTGGGTAGCTATACCTTGATAATATACCTTGTGGTATGTTGGCCCTGTCAGGTGGAAAGGAAATGAAACCACCTGAAATCATATCTGAATTCAATATCTTCACTGAGCACCTATGTGATGTCAGGGTCCAGATATTGGTTTAAGACCAGGGACAGCAAGGTTGTAGCCCATCTGCAACTCTAGAAGCTCCCTAGGTGATTTGGGGCCAGTCACTCTCTTTCAACCCAACTCATAAGACTATTGTGAAGAAAAAAAACCCACGTCTATTGAGTTGAGTTCCTCACTGAAAGAGGGGATATGGATTTAACAATAGTAATCTAAATTCAATGAATAAGCAAACTCATCAGCTTAAAATAGGATAGGAGAAAAGCAACTTCCCAGGGATGCCAGAAAAAAAGCTGTCCCAAAGCTGCTTTTTCCAAAAGGCAACTGGACTTCCTTGAAAAGAGAGGCTGGGAGAATCTTGCCTGAAAACCTCAGTCATCTGTCAGACATGTGATAAACTGCAGATAAGGAATACTGCAGATAACTATAGATAGAAAATTCCTGAAGGATTCCTAACTGCCACAAAAAATTCTGAGGTGGCACAACAGTTAGGAGTGGTTCTTCCTCTATTTTGTCTTGGCTACATTGATTATCCTGCACTTTTATTAAATCTTGATCCAACCTCATCATAAATATAGTATACAACAAGTGTTCTCATCAGCATCAACAACTGTCATATCAAATGTTTTCTTTGTGCACTAAACGTTAGCATCCCTGAGTTCCAAAGACCATCGTCACTACCATCTGATTCACAACATTCTGTCTCAAGCTGCTTGATATTTTGTGTTACACCACATTTGCAGTCATCACATCAATAACAGTTTTATGCTAGCACCTTGTAACTTAAAACCAGTATATGCACCTGCTTGCGTGAATCTTTTACAATTTGAGAAAACAGACTTGGATTTCATGGGGGACTCTTCCATTCTCATTGAATGGAATGGACTCTTCCATGTCCCATTTGAATGAGGCAAATAAAATGATGCTCCAGTAATGTGACAGTAAAACATTAAAGCAGGCGTGCACATGACCTTGAAGTGGTACAGGAAAGAGCCCCTTCCAAAATAATTGAGGGCAAGGACATCATGGAAGGGCAAAAAAGTCTAGACAGTGGCTACAACTGTTTGCTCAACCATGTGTGATGCACATCAAAAACAGGTGTGTCATCAGTTGAGCAGTTGCTGTGATCTTGCCTTTTTTTAACTTTCTGAGAATGCCCCGTGTGGGATAAAAGAAAAACTAAGTTTAATTTGCTTTAAATTATTTTAAAACATCGAATAGTTATCATATATTAAATAATATCATCTTCCGCATTATTAAAGAAATATCTTTTGCTGGCAACTGTTGAAGTTTATGATGGCTACTTCCTATTGCAGGGGTCCCCAAACTCGGCAGCTTTAAGACTTCTGGACTTCAACCGCCAGAATTCTGGGAGTTGAAGTCCACAAGTCTTAAAGCTGCCAAGTTTGAAGACCTCTGTCCTATTGTAAGGGGAGGATCCATGGAAGTCTGAAACAATGAATGTGGAACTCATCCGCCCCCTTCGAAATGCAGAGCTTTCCCTCTGGTTTTCTTGACTGTCCTTTCATTGCTATCGGCCCCCCTCCCCAAACAAGGAACATGAAACATAAAATCAAGTTGAAGTATCCAAAATCTATGCGGGTGGGTGGGAGAGAGGATGAGTGGGGAAGTGGGAAAGTATATTTTACTTCTGATAAAGCATCTAAGTACTCAAAAAAAAAAATTGGTGACATTCATGATACCTGTTTACATGCTTAAGCTCAAGAACCATTTCAAAAGTATTTATTTGGGGGAGGGAGGCCTGTGCCAATTTGTGCTAATGTAGCAGACCTGAAAGGCTGATTTTTGAAGGCCCCTATAAGAAATAGCAAAAAAATATTCATAACATTCATAAAGGCACTAGACAGAGTCCAAAAAATGTTTCTTGTGACTAGTGGAATGGGACTAGGTTGTGATTAACATTTGATGTCAGAGAGTCTCAACTGTGACAAACATTGCTGGATTATGCAACCGTAGCTAATAATCAACTAACCATAATTCCATTTAATAGCTAAAATGCTTTGCAAATGATGCACCAATGAAGGGAAAGGAATTGTGAATATTCTGGGTAACAGTGGAATCAGACAGAGCTTACGTATCTCTCACCCAAGGGTGTCTTGGGGCATCCTCCCCATAAAGAAAGTATCAAGGAAGCGGATTGCGCTTCCTTTTTACTCTTTTGTAATAGTCAGATCTGAGAACAAGCATAATTTAAGATGGCTGTGTGACACTTCGAAGAAATACTTTGCTTTGCACAGAGATCTAATGAAACAGTGCAATCTGTGACATTTCTGTGGAAGTTGTTAGGCCTGGGGGTTATAAAATGGACATCTAAAATATCAAGCAGTAGAACAGGAAGTGGGGATGTATGTCTCTTGAGGAAAAAGTGGATACTGGAAGGATGTGATTTTTTTTTTCTTCCAGTCCAAGGAGAAGGATCAGAAGTGGTGGCAATGTGTTTCTCTACCATGTTGAGATGCAGAAGATAAGGCTTGGGGAATTTTTTAATATTATGTTTAAAATAAAATGAAAAGTCAGAGCTGAAGAAGCTTCTTGAGAGGGATCTTGAAGTCCTAGTGGACAAAAACTTAAATATGAGCCAGTCGTGTGCTGCAGCTGCCAAAAAAGCCAACACAGTTCTAGGCTGCATAAACAGAGGGATAGAATCAAGATCACGTAAAGTGTTAATACCACTTTATAATGCCTTGATAAGGCCACACTTGGAATACTGCATTCAGTTTTGGCCGCCACGATGTAAAAAAGATGTTGGGACTCTAGAAAAGAGGGCAGAGAAGAGCAACAAAGATGATTAGGGGACCGGAGGCTAAAACATATGAAGAACGGTTGCTGGAATTGGGTATGTCTAGTTTAATGAAAAGAAGGACTAGGGATGACATGATAGCAGTGTTCCAATATAATCATAATCATAAATGTATTTTGTCAAGCATATATAAGATAACAGGTAAAAGAAAAGTATAAACATAATTTGAATACATGAAAAGAGTAAGTAAAAAAAAAAAAATCTCAGGAGCTGCCACAAAGAAGATTATTCTATTCTCCAAACCACCTGAGGGCAGGACAAGAAGCAATGGGTAGAAGCTAAACAAGGAGAGAAGCAACTTAGAACTAAGGAGAAATTTCCTGACAGAACAATTACCGTAATCAGTAGAACAACTTGCATCCAGAAATTGTGAATGCTCCAAAACTGGAAGTTTTAAAGAAGAGACTGGACTACCATTTGTCTGAAATGGTATAGGGGTTTCCTGTCTAAGCAGGGGGTTGGATTAGAAGACCTCCAAGGTCCTTTCCAACTCTGTTTTTCTATTTCTATTTCTATTATTTTTATTTTTGTCCCTGTCCCTGCCCCTATACCTGGAAGAGAAACCTAAAGGTGCTTTTTTAAGAGGCAACTGGACTTTCTGGTTTTCCTTTGAAGACATTTCGCTTCTCATCCAAGAAGCTTCTTCAGTTCTGACTGGATGATGGAGAATGGAAAGATTTATACTCCTTGCAGACTGCTAGGCATTTGCGTTCTTTTAGCAAGTTGTTTAGGCCACCTGGTGGTTTATCTGTGTTGTCAGGGTCACCTGAGTAGTGCAAATGAGGTGTGAAGCCTTATTGGAACTTTGAATCTTTCCATTCCCCATTATCCAGTCAGAGCTGAAGAAGCTTCTTGTATGAGAAAGGAAATGTCTTCAAATAAAAACCAGAAAGTCCAGTTGCCTCTTGAAAAAGCACCTTTGGGACAACCATGATCTGAATGACTGAGAATCTCCCTAGAAATGAAAACCAATTTCATATGTCAAAGCTGTGCTATTAACAGCCTCATCCTATATTGACAGCTAAATTGGTAAAACCAATATTCCAAGGAAAGAATGTCCAGGTAATGAAACAAAGGGACTGCTGTTTCGATAATCTAGAACACTTGCCTCCTCCCAGGTCCCCACATTGAAAAACAGCTAATAAGACAGTTACATGCTTGTGCACCATTCAAATAGACAGGGTGATTTGACTTCTGGTGAGGACATGGTAAGTTAGAAATCTCTGAAGGAGTGGGGACAGCATTGTGACCAAAATTAGCAACCAAAACACAGATCCTGGCCAGTGAAATATCTCTGGAGCAAGAAGAGATCATGGGATTGCCTACATATACTCTGGACGACTGCTACTCATGAGTAGGCTACAGAAATCAAGAGTTTTTGAACTCTTGGTTCAAAAACTGATGAGTGGAGCAACTGGAAATCAAGGGATACCAACTACATCCACATTCATAATGTAGGCTTTATGGACATAAAGTTCAGCCAAGCATAATTTCATAATCACCTCTCAAATTATCTTTTTGCTATTTTTTCAAATATTAAGAACTGTCAGAATGAATGCCTCAGTTTGAGGCTTTCATTGGGAAAGTTTTCTTCAATCCTCAACAAAATAAGTTTTCAAGTACAAGTTTAAGGATTTAGCAGTTCTAGGGAATAAACAGCAAAAGGGTGATTAGAATGTTGTTTTTGGAAACTTATAAATGGATTAAAGGTTTAGATGGGCTTGAAATGGGATTTTGAAATTAATTGAAAGAATCTTTCCTGTGGGAAATAGCTGATGTTTTGAAAGGGGGGGGGATGATAGAATGGGATTTTGAAAATTGGACAGTAGAGGGAGCCAGAACAAAGTAAAGATTATAATTAAAGGAAAGAACACCTATTTGACCTGTTAACACAAAATGGAGCAAAGTATTTTTGGATATACTGAAGATATTTAAGAACAATGGACTCAAGATAATTTTAAGAATGTCTTTCATCAAAAATAGACAGTGTGTGATTATGTCATGAAAGAGAAACAAGTTAACTGCATAAGATGAAAATAGATTTAAAAAATGACTGAATATAAGAATGATCCAAAAATAAGATGAATTACTGGATATACAAAGAAAAACAGCTGATGTTTTAATAATTAAAGGGAACATACAATAACAAACTAGGACAGTGGCTTGGATATTTTTCCTATACTGGATTTACAAAGGAGACCTGTTAAACTGTTGAAAGATTTGGTGAGAAGAGACAAAGTGAAAAAAAAAGAAAGTTTTAGGACTTTATTCAAAGGGATTAAAGACCAGGTTTGTTAAAAGTAAAGGGAAGTAATATAAAGTTGGTATAACTGATCAAGTTTAAAATGTATGTTGTTATTTCTGGTAGCTTTTAATGGACTTTTGCTGAACAGGACTGAATAACAAGGTTCTAGAATTTGTCTATGTAATATGGGATGAAGAGAACATTTGTTGTACCTTAAGAGAAAGTGACAAGTTGTTTAAATTGTTTATATTTGTTGTGATGAAGGGGGAAAGTTACTTCTTTCTTTTCTTTTCTTTTCTTTTCTTTGTTATATTGTTATTTTACCTTTCTTTTCTATGCTTCCATACATATGCACACACAGAGATGTACTTTTCTTTTTTGCACTTTTTACTTTTATTTTTTATAGCCTTTACTAGTTTTTCTTTGTAATTGCAATCCTTAATGCAATTATTTTTTAAAAACACACACACAAAAAGATGGGGAGATTCCAAATCCCTACATTTGATATAAAGTTATGTTAGCATTTTGTGACTATATGGGAAACCTAGATAACTGTGTGACTCTATGTTAATGAATTGCAAATGGGAAGAAGATCTGAACTGAATTTCCAGTGTGCCTCTTTTGTTGCAGTACTCTCAGCTGACCTGTTAGGGAAGCAGCCCTTTGCAGCCAGCAGGTAATTTGAAACCCTTTAAAACAGGGGTGTCAAACTCAAGGCCCGAGGGCCGGTTCTGACCATGGGGTGCTTAGATCTGGCCCGCCGGGCTGCCCTGGAAATCACAAATGACTGGCCCGCAGTGACTCTGCCAGTGAAAATGAGCTCGGGAGGGCCGCCTGCCTGCTGAAATACAAAAAGACACAGTACCACTAACTATAATCTGTGAACACCCCTGGACAATGGGTGAAATCCAGAAGACTGGTGGAGTAGGGCAATACCCTAAACTTCAAAACAATGAAAGGAGGAGGACCTGCAAAATTACAGAACTGTTCCTTTGATGCCTAAATATTTGGTAGTAGCCTTCTGGAACTCACTCAAAATCAGTCAAATACCTTCTAGAAGGTATTTGATGGGACATCACCATAAGTTTTTGTTTACTTTTCTATGTTTTTCCTGCTGTTGTTCTTTTCTCTTATTATTTATTAGCTTTAGTTTTGTACCCAGATCATTTAAAGCTTCTTGCTGTTATGTTTGTTATATGGGTGACCAAAGTTCCAAGGTACAAATTTCATAAATAAATAAATAGCTAAACATTAAACAGGCAATTCCTCAAGCAGCGTATTTGAGCACCTAAACAGGAATGCAATAATTAACAAGAGCCTGCATGCCTTTGTCACTCTCAAGTCATGCCAGGGTAATCACTCTCTCTCTTCCCCTCCCTCTCCCTCTCCCTCTCTCTTTCCCTCCCTCCCTCCCTCCCTTCCTCTCTCTCTCTGACAGATTTGTTGTTTAAATCAGGATTTGGTTAGATGTTGGTTTAAGTAATTACTGTGTTATCTGTGAGTTGTGTTAGTGCAGGATTTTATTTTGGGATGCAGCATTTTTATAGTGGAGAAGAATGTGTGGGTGAAAGTTAGAAGCCTGAGAAAAGTGAAAGCGAGCATTTCATGTAACTGTGAAGAGAATGGCTTGAGAATGTTGAGTGGGGGAGTGACATTAGAGAAGCTTTGGACTGGCAGACCTAGAAAACAGCAAACTGAAAGGAACTCCAGACCAGCTGGAAAACTGAGGCAGAAGAACTTCTATCCTTAGAAGGTGATAAACATGGCAGTAGGCACCATGGATAACTGCAAAATGATGAAGAGAAGAATCATAGCTGCCATTAAGACCTGAGATGGAAGGCAGTGGTTGAGAGTGTTGTGTTGTGTTGTGTTGTGTTGTGTTGTGTTGTATTGTGTTGCATTGCATTGCGGTGCAGTGCAGTGCAGTGCAGTGCAGTGTAGTGTAGTGTATTGTACTGTAGTGTACTGTACTGTAGTGTACTGGAATACCAGACACTGCTTCTGGACCACTTGTCTTTGCTTTAAATGTTAAGAGGAATAGTGCACATTCTGTAAACCACAGCTAGAGTGGATGTTAATTTACTGTCTGCCTAGCTGATCTTGAACCCCTGGGTCATTTCAATGCTGATACTTGAGTTTCCATATCTTCTGATTTTATGTGACTTTCATCTCTATGTTCTGGAGGAGAGTCCACTGTAGTTAATAAGTTCATGGTCTCCATGGGTTAGTACAAATCAGATAGCCCCAACACAGATGAGCAGGTACATACCTGATCTGGTTTTACTGCGGTATTGACACGCCTCCTTTGGCATGGTCAGATTACTTTCTGATCAAACTGAGGACAACAGATCACTCCACAAGTGCAAGAGTCTAATTAAGCTGGTATCCTGCTTGAGGAGTCAAAGGACATTAAGTGGAAGACTAAAAGTGGACACGACTGAGCATTAGTAACAGAACATTAAACGTCTATGGAGATTCTCAGTCATCCAGGCCATGGTTGTCCCAAATGTGCTTTTTCAAGAGGCAACTGAACTTTCTGGTTTTTCTTTGAAGATGTTTCGCTTCTCATCCAAGAAGCTCCAGTTGCCTCTTGAAAAAGCACTTTTGGGATAACAGCAACATTAGTTCAAACATATATGCACAGCGTAGTTTCAATTCCTCACCACATTTCTTGTGCCTCATTGTTTGTCCCTGTTCAGAATCATTCAGACCTTTCTAAAGAAGGATGGCTGGGATAAAATGTTTAGTTTTAAACATTTAAAGAGGCAGTGGTGTGCCCTCTTTCTAGCTGCAGTTGGTAGCCACTCTCCCCAGCTTCTCACTTTAGGAAATAGTCATTCCAGTAGACAAATTTCACCCGTGTAAAGATGCAGCAAGTGTGTTCCTCTTGATCCTAATAAACCTCTTAGCAGAATTTGATATATCATCATTAAGAGATACCGTTCTGGATTTGTCATTGGTGCAGGTCATGCAGATGGTAGAAAATATGAAAGACAAACTACTTCTAAACTACCGATAGATCAGATCTACTATTGGATAATAACAATAAAACTATAATCACTACATTAGTTATCAGTAAGCTTCAGGGTTGAATACAAAATGCTAATTATCACCTGAGTGTAGGAATGACAGTGGCAGGCAGTGGGAAGAGCCACAGCAAGGACAACAGTCAGGTAACAGGCAGCCTTAGCTTGCAACAGCAATTTGGCAAATGTCCCAGAAAGGATCTTCCCTCATTTCTTGCATTGTAAAGTGATAGGAAACAAATGTACTTTCAGACATGCAAGATTCTGTTAATGTACAATAAAGTCTAATTTTGTTCTTTCTGTCTGGATTACCTTGTAAGGATGACACCTATTAAATCAGAGGGTGAGGGTGTAATTTAGCAGACTGTCATCCTCCAGTTTCCATACACAGTCAATCACCTCAGACTGTTCAACTAGCCATCAGTTGGAGCAGGTGAGAAAGCTCATCAGGGATCTGGGTATCCTGGAAGAAGATGAAGTCCAAGGACATTCTGAGAAACCTGGAGAGCCAAGCAGCCACCAACAGTTCCCCATTTATTGGGAATAACTGCATCCCGAGAGCCAAGGTGGTGCAGTGGTTAGAGAGCAGTACTGCAGGCTACTTCAGCTGACTGCTAGCTGCAGTTTGGCAGTTCAAATCTCACTGGCTCAAGGTTGACTCAGCCTTCCATCCTTCTGAGGTGGGTAAAAGGAGGACCCAGATTGTTGGGATATGCTGACTCTGTAAACCGCTTAGAGAGGTCTGTAAAAGCACTATGAAGCAGTATATAAGTCTAAGTCAGGGGTCAGCAACCTGCGGCTCTGGAGCAGCATGTCGCTCTTTCATCCCTCTGCTGCAGCTCCCTGTCGCTGGTTGGCTCCATAATTGATAGGGCTTTTGGTTAGGACAGGTAGAGGAAAAAGGACAACTCGGTAGGAGGAGACTCTATGGTGGGGGAAATGGACTTCCAGTCAGCAGAAGAAAAAGGATGCCGCACTATGAGGAGACTCCATGGTGGGGGAATCAGACTTCCAGTCGGCAGACAAAAAAGGACGCCACACTAGGAGGAGTCTCTATGGTGGGGAAACTGGACTTCCGGTCGGCTCCAGAATTGAATAGGAGGCTTCCGGTTAGGACCTTTGTGGCTCTTTGAGTGTTTAAGGTTGCCGATCCCTGGTCTAAGTGCTATTGCTATTGCATCAACCTTAGATTCATATTCCTGTGTCTTTGATCTATGCTTAAATCCTTAACCTTGGCTCTTCAACCCTGACTGGCTAACCAACTTCTTGGTGACTGGACTACTGTATTCTTCCATCTCTGAACACAGGTTCTATTGTGGACTGATGTTTTTATTTATTTAGCTCTCAGACAAGTCCTTGTTTCTGCAGTGGGTGCATATTCTCTCAAGCTAGCTCTCTTCTTGCCTTGTGTGTGACTGCTTGTTACTCAGTAGATGAACATGTATACATTATGATGTAGCTGTTAAAAAGGCAAATACTACTTTGAAATGTATTAGTGAGACAAAGAGTTTAGATTACAGAACAAAATATCCTATTCTAGTCTAGCTTGTCATGGCCTATTGGAACACTGGCTACAGCTATGGGTACTATCTGCAAAGGCTATTGATAAACTAAAATAAGTTCAGAGGACTGCCACCAAGATGATGAAGAAACTAGAAATCATGTCCTGTGAGGAATAATTAAAGAAACTGAATAGGGTTGGTTTGCAGAAAAGAAGACCAAGAAGAGATATGATGAAATTCTTCAAATATCTGAAGGCTGTCAAAAATAAGAGGGAGTAAACATAAATGTTGATGCCCCAGAAAGTGGACCAGAACCAATGGGTTGGAAATATAGCAAAGTAAATTTGGGTTGGATATCAGGCAGAATTTCCTGAGGGCAAGAGCTGTCAAGGGGATGGTTGCCTCATAAAATGGTGTGTTCCCCTTCACTGGATGTCTTCAGAGCCTGAGTAGCCAGCTGTTGAAAATGCTTTGGCAGATTCTACACTGAGAAAAGATTGTTTTATGAACTCTGAGGTCACTTCCAACTATGTAGTGGTGAAATGGATTTTATGGTGCTATTTTAAAAGGTCATTTTATTATCTGGCAAATCTACTCTGTTGCCCCTAATGCTTTCACAATTTAATTTTACGTAATTCTAATCAACAGGGCTGAAAAGAATTCCATTATAAATTCCACCGGTAGCCAGCAGATCCATCTGTCCATCTGCATTACTGTCAGCAGATCCATGGCAGGAAAATCTGATAGGAAAAAGAGCTTCTACTTTTCAAAGTATACGTAGCCATCAGACGTGCACAGATCTTTTTGAAACAATAAAGGAAAAGACTTTTATCAACTTTCTAATTTTTGGAAAATATTACAAATCTCATCAGATCCTGGGTCAATCTGATATATTCTTTAATGGATTAAAATAATAAATACATATAAAATTGTCACCCTAAACAGATTGGTAAATGTTCTCTGATCTGTTATCATCTTACTGAGTTCAATGTGACTTATTCCTAAATTTACGAATACAATCTTCGTATATACTATCAATCTTCGTATATACTATACTATATGGATATTTTATACATGTTTTTCCTTACTTATTATTTGCAATTATTGTTTGCATTTCTGTCCTGTTTGTCCTAACCTAGAAGGAAATTAAATATTATTTCATGGGTGAGTTATGGCATTTCCACTGAGGTGTACCTTGATGTACTTTTTTATTATAACATTTATATATTTGTTTACTGATTCAGTTGAATTATTTTTGGTGAAATGGAATAGAAATTCTACTAATGAATCAAAGGAGGGGGAAATTGCTATGTTCTACTGGCATCCCCCACATGCACATATAAATAATCCCAGTAAATGGAGAAATTTTCCAAAGCTCTATTAACAAAGCTATTTTCACCGATTTCACAATATTAATTTAAATAAGAGCTTCGGGAAGCCATTGAAGATAGCATTTCTAGGAAAATGCAAGCTACAGTTTAATTAAGAAAGGAATATATTGATTGCTATATAAAAGAGACATTTCTGCACAGAATATGTGCATAATTCAATCTTGTTTCAAGATGTTGAGTTTTGTATTATACTGAAAATAATTTTGTTAACAAACCAATTATTGCAGGAAGACTGCTTCAAGAGTTGATGCTATTGCTCTTTTGTAGAAAAATCTTTCTGATTACCTCCTATAAAGAAATAACAAAACTTGACTCTTGCCCACATAGGGACAGATTAATTACATATTGGCAAGTCTGCACAACACATACATTAGGTTAAAATGGGGCTAGGTAGATTGTGGTTCAGGGTATTGTACAAATCCAGCTGTTATCATATCATATTGTTGAACTAGGCCATCATCTTGAGCCATAATATGGTGACTTCTGAGGGGATGGTGGTGAAGAGGCAGAGGTACAGCATATTAGGCCAACAAAGAAATTGTGTTTTATTAAGCCAGTTTTAGAGTTTAGGAGTTGTGCAAATGCCTTTTTTGTCCATTCATGAGATGAATATTCAAATAATTTTTCCCCATGGCCCTATCTGTCCTTTCCATTTCAGCAGGTGCTCTGGGGCTCACCAAAAGCTAACAAGCTTCAATCATTTACCTACCTTCCATCTTGGCTTTGAGAAGATTAAGAACCCACACTGGACACAGGCATCCTTTTGCTAACCTCCAACTGGAACTACAGCTAAATCTAGTTTATACAGCCAGAGCAAGGAAGCTAAGCTGAGTAAGATAATCATAGCCCAACCATATGCACATATATACATTTACCTCAGGTAATCTCTGCGGCAGAGAATGAGATTTGCTTTTGTGTAAAGTGTTGATCCAACCTCTCCCAGGCGACAGTCGCAGCAGGCACACTTTAAGCAATCTTCATGCCAGTATTTATCCAAGGCCTTCAGAAGGTAGCGGTCCTTGATCTTACGATTGCAGCCAGCGCAGCCCTTCTGCTTTCCTTTTGGTTGCACCGATAACATTGGCACACCTAGGAGTCAGAAAAAAGAGAGGGCCTGTCAAATGAGGACATTGCTGGGAAATTCTCCAAGCTGAAATTGGTGTCCTAAGCGGTCTTTCTAGGCAATTTTGTTTAATTTTGACTTTGTTTGCAAAGTGAGCAGAGAACCTGATCCTGGCAGCATGATTAATATTAGTTACAAGGGCATTCATATTTTCCCATCATAAAACTGGCTTATTATCTCCAGATATTAAGGAATCTGTCTGAGCTACTAAATAAAGGAATTCTTATAGTACTTCCTGTGAAACATTGCTGTCTTATTTTTATTTATTTATTTTGTCAAGCATGTATAAGATAACAGATATAAGTATAAACATGATTATGAATACATGAAATGGATACGAATAAAAGGGGACATTAGGACAGGGATGGCAGGCATGTTGGTGCGCTTATGCACGCCCCTTACAGACCTCTTAGGAATGGGGTGATGTCCATAGTAGACTGTCTAAGGTTAAAATTTTGGGGGTTTGGGGAAGTAACCACAGAGTCAGGTAGTGCATTCCAGGCATTGACCGCTCTGTTACTGAAGTCGTATTTTCCGCAATCGAGTTTGGAGCAGTTTACCTTGAGTTTGTATCTATTGTGTGCTCGTGTATTGTTGTGGTTGAAGCTGAAGTAGTCATTGACAGGTAGGACATTGTAGCAGATAATTTTATGTACTATGCTTATGTCAGATCAAAGGCAGCGTAGTTCTAACTTGTAACTTTTTTTGTAATTTGGTAATTTTGTAACGGTAATAATTCCAATTCTTCCTATTTATCAAAAATATTATTTTACACACACACATATACATAGATAGAGAAGTTTTGTATATACTAGACCCTGGTGATTGGACTGATCAGTTTATAGAGTCTGCAAATTGTGCCTGCAATGATTCTTCCTAATTGAAAACGATGGAAATGCAAGTTCATAGCAGTCAAGAAAAAGCTAAAGTATTGGAGCAGCAAATGGCCACATTTCAGCTGAGGAGAATTTATTAGTTGAAAGAAAGTTAGTTCAGCAACAGAAACTGACAGTGAAAGCAACTTTCCATAAGAAAGACAATAAAACAGTGGAGTAAGGCCAGTGGGTAAGAGTGACAAGTTGAAAGACCAGACATAGAAGATATTCTGGAATATCTTCAGAATCCAGAAACAATTTTCATGTCCTTGTGAAAAGGAGATGGAAGATAGAACATGGAGGACAGGACAATGCTTCCTTAAATGGCAGAGAGGAAAAACTAAAACAGAAAATAGCACAATTGTTTTCTAAAGAGCAGAGAGAATGAAAATTTGCCCTGTAAGAAGACAATGAGAGTAGTTAATGATTCATTGTTGTGAAGAATTGAAGCAAATATATGCCAACCATACTCATGGGTCTCTGAAGTGTCCTTCCAAGAGTTACCAAGTCCATGTCCTTTTCTGCTAATACATAGTAGGTCAATAATACTGCAAAATAACAGCTACAACTATTTCATCAGTTTGAAAATTTTAGAAAGAAGCTCAAGATCCTCGAGCTCAGGTAATAATTCCCATTCATCCTTCCAAACTGTGGAAGAGAACTGGAAAGAGAAAGAATAATGCAAGTCAGCAACTCCCTGCAAAAAATGATACTGATGGAATATATTTGGTTTCTGAGACCATGGGTTATCTAGATGATGGACTGCACCTCACAAGAACTGGTAGGGATATGCTTGGTCAATGCGTAGCAAGCTTGAGTAGGAAGTCCAGCAGAAGATGGAAACCAAAACTTAAACTCTGAAATGAGGACTTAAGACAAAAACTACTGCACTGTAGAAATTGGGACCACTGATGAAATTAGGTCTCTTTAAACCGCTCAGTGAAACATGAGAAAGAACCTTGGTTCGTAAAGCTCACAGCCTTCATTTTTTATACACTAATACTCAAGAGTATGGGAAATGAGATTAGATTGACCTCTTAATACAGGAAAGGACATATGATTTCATAGTATAATGGAGACCTGATAGGATGACTCCCGTGGCTGGAAATGAAGGATACAATTCATTTAAAAATGAGGGAAAGCAATAGAAAAGAAGAAGGAACAGTGTTGTATGCAAAAGCTTCTACTCAGAAATCCAAATGAATGAATTTGGTTGTAGGGAGGGTTAAATATGTGAAGGAACAAATAAAATACCATTATTGGTGTCATCCAACCAAAAGGATGTGGATGATGCCTTTCAAAAGCAAAATGCAGGTCTGTGAAGGAGGCATGAAATCATAATGGTGAGATATTTTAATTACCCTTACATCTGTTGGGAGACATACTCTACCTAGCATGGGCTTTTCAAAAAAATTCCAAACAACTTTCTTCTCTAAAAGATGGAGGATGACACAAGAGGATGAACTGCCCTTGATTTCTTGATTTCTTCTTTATTTTATTTATTTATTTGTCAAGAACCTATTAGATAATAAGTATAAACATGGATTGGATACATAAAATAGATACAAACAGAGGAAACATTAGGACAGGGACGGTAGGCAAACTGGTGCTCTTATGCACGCCCCTTAAATTAAATTTATATTAAAATTACATTAAATTTATAGGGAGACTCCAAGCACACCCATACTGCACCCTTAAATAGTTCCTCTCTCTATTCATACTGACCTCACTATATGACTCTATGGCTATTCTCTCTGTTAGGAAAATTCTATCAGGACCAAGATGTTCTGGCCATAACTTAAAAGGCATTTGCTCTGAATAGAAGGCTATCCTCTGACTGGACAATTCACCTACTTCAGTGTCTTTTCAACTTTCCATTCCAAGAAATTATTGCCAATCTCTTTCCTTCCTGTGGGTAGATCCTACTGGACATGCGTATGTTTGTGAGTGTGTATGCAGGTGGATATGGATAGAAAGATAGATGCAGAAATATATTATATGCACATACACACAAAGTTAAATTAAATGTACATATGCAAAATCAAAACACACATACCTGCAAGTACAGCAACCAACTTTAATATAAAACTCCATTCCTGCCCTGCTGTTCTCTAATGTCTCCTAAAGCTACCTTCATCAGCAATGTACAATATTGCAGCGATTGTAAGCTTCCAAGAGCTATGCTTCATAAGATGGGTGGCAATATAAATCTAATAAATTAATACATAAATAAAATTTGCCTTGAGACCCGACAGTTTTAATTAATATTATTTTTCCATGACTTACCTATTTTTTCTAATTGTTAATTGTTAAAAGAGATGGAGGTGAAACTATTCTACCTCAAATCACTGGACACTGATGAAAGAATCTACCACTGGATTTACTTAGAGATAATTAACAAAGGAGAGTGAACAACGGACCACGAATGAACTAATGTACACATTAAGGCATCCCTCTTGCACAGAGACACACATATAATCAAATGTGTATGCCACATGACTCCCAGTGATTCTGCTTGCTATTTTTACAATTATTTTAAGCTTTTAATCAGATTTATTAGGCTGCTTTTTTTGTTATGTGTTCACAGCCAAATCAGCAATGACTTTGGTTTACTTAGAGTGTAAATTGAAGTTTGCACTGCAAAAGCACCTAGGTTAAGGCAGGCAAAATGGGAAAGTTATTTCCCAATGAGCAGGCACAGAAACACAGATAAATTTTCCTCTCTCTGTCCCCAGTCATTCAACAGCTTCTTCTTAGGCAATCTATTTCCCAGGATTTTTTTTCCTGTGGGTTTTTGGGCAAAGGGATAGAGATATCAGTAAAAGCCTAAGAAGTCTAAATGTTTAATAGGTAGGAGACCTTGAACTAGCTGAATACCCAGAAGGATAGCTGAGGAAATGAAAGTGGGACATTGGATCCCTCCAAAATCTGAATTTTCATTCTGTCTTGAGCGAATTTGTGAATTAGGTGAAATGATAGATCGTAAGTCCACAGAACCTTTCATTGGAGTGTCATCAATGATCTGAATGGAATTTCTACAGCTGCATTAAAAGGGTTTCAAAACATTAGTCTCAAATTCCATTGCAGGTGCTCATTTGCCATTAAATCCAAGGGTTTGGGGTAAGTAGCTTCATATTCTTCAAGATTTATTTGAAGACCTCTTCAGCATTATAGCAGCCAGGTCTAAAAGATAAATATACTTGCTGCTGGGAATCAAGGAAGAAATTGCTTGGATTTCTCCTCAGTCATCACTGGTTTTCCTTCTGCACTTTTAAAAAGTGAAAGATTAAATGGGCATTTTCTTTGACAGGCACATCAGTCTATACATGGTCTGAATCTTCCATGAGAATCCCATACAATAAACTAATGAGAAAACATATGACTCAAACTTTCATTCATTGATCACACTACAGATGCTGTATTAATGCTTTTGGGTGAACATCTAGAGTAGGAATTATTTGTTTTGTACTTGCATGGCTCATGATGGGAGGTATGCTGAATTTGTGCAAATCAGTTTAAAATCCCATAATGATTCTTCCTCCAGTTGCACCTTTTCCCCTTTCAATCATGTCTGATTCTTGGAGAATGCTTGGACAAGTCCCTGGATTTTTCTTGACAAGGTTGTTTCAGAGATGGTTTGCCATTTTCTCTGTTTTAGGTTTGAGAGTTAACAGTAACAAAGTTGGAGGTCATCTAGTCCAACCCCCAGCTCATGCAGGAGACCTGTGCTAGGGATTCGAACCACCGAACTGCTGACCTTTCTGATCGACATGCTCAGTGTCTTAGCCACTGAGCCACCCAGTCAGAGAGTGGTCCCAGGCTGCCCAGCTGGCTTCATGTTCAAGACAGAATTAGAACTCTGGGGGAAGTGAATGCCCACCCTCAGGGGAAGTGAAATCGTATCCAGAGTATTAGCTATAAATGGTTCACAACTGGGTTTTTAAGTATGTTTGATTGGTGCTTTAAAGAAATTTTAGACAGTAATGCTAAATGTTGACATTTTCTCCTCAGTCCTACACCTCTTAACTTGGAGATGTCTAAGAAAACGTCAGGATGTTAACAAATTATCCTTTGCAAGAAAGCTGGTTAGT